TAAAAATTCAATCATGGGATGTGGGCATCACTGCCTAGGCCAGCAGTAATTGTCCATGCCTAAAAGCTTATTAGGAGGATAGGGGCCAATCACATTGCTGTAGACCTGGAAATACATACAGGTCAGACCAGGTAAGGATGGCAGATTACTTTCTCTAAAGGGCATTAATGAACCAAATTGTTTTTAAATCAACAATGGTTACATGCTCACAATTAGATTGACATTCTGAGCAGATTTTTGTATGGATTTAAAATTTCAGCTAGTTTCCATGGTATGATTTGAGCACATGTTCCGAGTCACCGGGTCTGCATACGTCCAGTAACATTACCACCACATCATCACATCTCTGAATGTTTGCACTGTGATTAATCAGATGACTTCTTTGCTCAGACTTTCATGTGTTGTGTGTGTGTTTGACAGAGAGAGAAGTCTAGTGAAGCGGCAGACTTGTGGAGCTCTTGCATCTCCTTAAACTTCATTGATGTCCTGTGCATAGTAAAACGCTGACACCCTTTTTAACAATTGCATAATAAAACACTGACACCCTTATTAACAACTGCACAGTAAAATGCTGACACCCTTTTTAACAATGTAGTACTCTGCTATGTGTTGAGATATCTAGGAGTTAGCAGTCCTGACCTGCTCTGGTTACGTTAAGAACAGCAACTTCTACTTGTATAGTGTCTATAATATAATGAAACGCTTCAAGTCACAAAAATGTTATAAAAGTATGACGGCAAGTACATGTAAGCAGACATAAGATAAATTGCCCAAAACCTTGCTCAGAAATACATTTTAATGAGTTTCTTTAAGGAGGAAAGTTAGGTTGTGAAGTGGAGAGGTAATGGGAGGGGATTCCAAAGCTTAGGATCGAGCAAACTGAATACACCTGTTCGGAAGGATTCAAACATGGAAACACAGAAATGGGAACAGGTTTAGGAGGTAACATGTGCTAGGATTTTGGAGAGGAATGGGAGATTTGAGACAGGGATGGTCATTTGAAAGGATGGAGGGTCGAAGGTTTCTTTATGGGAGGTGGTACATTGAGAACTGATTCAAAAGAGAGAGAAAACACTTGAAGAGAAAGAACCACTTATAATCTCAGCTAACATGGAGACCAGGAGGATATTGGGTGATCAGTGATTCCATACAAAGGATTGAGGGAGAAAAAGATACACAGAGATAGGCATAAAAGTAAGCTGTGCAAAATGCATAAGAAAGCTACAAAGGGATATTGATGGTTGATTTGAGTGGGCAAAGATCTAGCAAATGACGTACATATGGGAGAATGTCCATATTGGCAGGAAGAATAAAAAAGCATTTTTCTAAATGGTGCAAAACTCTAAGATGCAGAAGGATATCAGTGTCACAGTGCATGAATCAAAAGCTTAGTAGGCAGGTACAGCAAGTAATTGATCTATAGAATAGCCTTTATTGTCATATGCGCTCAAATGAGTGCAGTGAAAAGTTTGTAACGTCGCCTTTCAGCAACATCTTGCTTCAGAGAACCTAGGTACAGATACTTAAACGTGTAGTTACAGAGTAAAACAAAATAGTGTTGTTACAGAGTTAAAAAAAAGTATAGATTAGCATGAGAATAGTCAAAAAAGTCCAGAATGATAATAAGAGATCATAAGTACTTAAGTTCCAGTCTGTGCCCACCGGCCCCAGAGCACGAGGCCACACAGCCTCCATGTACCGGCTTCCATCCAGGACTCACTCCGCTGCCACTCGAGGAATCAGCCCATTCGCTCTTCCGTGGGATTCGGCCCATTCGCTCCGCCGCGAGACTCAGCCTGCATTCACTTGGCTGCGGGACATGGCCTGTGCTTGCTCTGCTCCTTGACTCCAGTCAGATTGAGCTGGGGCGGGGGCGTTGGGGGGGTTGGGGGGGCGGGGGTGGGGTTGGTGGTGGGAGGAGGAGAAAAGCTTCTAAGAGGAGAAAATTATAGAAAGGAAAAGGAAAGGGACTGGCAAGCAGAAGAGCTCCGTCTGGAGTGTCCTACTCTGCTGCCATCTTGCCGCCATTGTAAAATTGGAAAAACTAACTGGTAAAGCAAATAGAATGATATTGTTTATTGCATGGGGAATTGAACACAAAATGTAAGGAAGTTATGCTTTAGTTTCATAGGGCATAGGTGAAACAACATTGTATAGTACTGCACACAGTATTGGTCACCTTGTTTAAGGTTGTAATTACATTGGAAACTATTCTGAGAAGGTTTACCAGACTAATATCTGCAATAGGGGGCGATGGGGTCTTATGAGAAATGTTTGGAAAAACTTGGTTTGTATCCACTGGAGCTTAGGGGAGTAAAAGGTCCCTTGATTGAAGCATGTAAGAAACTGAGCGGGCTTGACAGGGTGAATGTGGAAAGAATGTTCACTCTTGCAGGAGAATCTTGAACTGGGGTCACTTTGAAAAAAAGTGTTGCTCACCTAAGACAGATTTTTTTCTGATAGCGTCACGAATCTTTTGAATTCTCTTCCTCAAAAAGTGGTAGGAGAGTCTGTGAATATTTTTAAGGCAAAGGTCAATACATGATAAGTAAGTGGATAAAAGAGTAGGCAGAAACATGGAATTAACAGACTGACTTTGATCTTTTGTAGAGAAAGGCAGGGGCTGATTGGCCTCTTCCTGCTTCTAAATTGTATGTTCATATGGGGTGTGATGGACAAGGTGAGCTCAGAAGAGAGCAATAGGGGAGATGGGCAAGATACAGGAATGGAAGTTAGAGGGGAGCATTTGAAGTAGGCTAAATGGAAGGATTTACATAAATGATCTGGATGTGAATGTACAAGACATGATTAGTAAGTTTGTGGATGATACAAAATTAGGAGGTATCATTGATAGTGAGGAAGATTATCAAAAATTACAAAGGGATCTTGATCAGAAGGGGAAGTGGGCTGAGGATTGGCAAATGCAATTCAATACAGATAAGTGTGAGGTGTGGCACTTTGAAAAGTCAAACCAAGGTAGGACTTACACCGTAAATGATAATGTCCTGAGGAGTGTTGTGGAACAGAGGGACCTAGGAGTACAAGTACATAGTTCGGAGAAAGCAATGTCACACGTAGACAGGGTGGTGAAGAAGGCATTTAAAATGCTGGCCATTCTCCCATATGATACGCCATTTGCCAGATCTTTGCCCACTCACTTCAACCATCAATATCCCTTTGTAGCTTCCTTATGCATTTTGCACAGCTTACTTTTATACCTATCTCTGTGTATCTTTTTCTCCCTCAATCCGTTGTATGGAATCACTGATCACCCAATATCCTCCTGGTCTCCATGTTAGCTGAGATTATAAGTGGTTCTTTCTCTTCAAGTGTTTTCTCTCTCTTTTGAATCAGTTCTCAATATACCACCTCCCAAAAAGAAACCTTCGACCCTCCATCCTTTCAAATGACTATCCCTGTCTCAAAAGGCATTGAGTACAGGAGTCAGACGTTATGTTACAGTTGTATACAGTTGGTGAGGCTGCACTTGGAGCTTTGTGTACAGTTTTGGTCACCCTCTTATAGGAAAGACATAGTTAAACTGGAAAGTGTGCAAAGATTTACGAGGATGTTGCTAGGACTAGTAGGCCTGAGTTATAGGGAGAGATTGACCAGGATAGGACTTTATTCCTTGGAATGTAGAAGAATGAGGTTTGACCTTATTGAGGTGTACAAAATCATGAGGGGCATAGATTGGTTGAATGCACATAGTCTTTTTCCCAGGGATGAGGAATTAAAAACTGGAGGGCACAGGTTTAAGGTGAGAGGAAAGATTAAGAAGGATCTGAGGGGCAACTTCTTCACACAGAGAGTGGTGTGTATATGGAATGGGCTGCCAGAGAAAGTGGTTGAGGCAGGTACAACAGCGACACTTAAATAAACATTTGGATAGGTGCATGGATGGGAAGGTTTTAGAGGAATATGGACCAAATGCAGGCAAACGGGACTAGCTAAGTGAGCACCATGGTCAGCATGGACCAGTTTGGGCTGAAGTGCCTGTTTCCATGCTGTATTATTCCATGATTCTGCAGAGCCAGTTTGCGGCAAAGAAGCCTATGAGCTTCCTACATTTAATGTCAGGGGCGAGGATATGAGACAGTGGGGCTTAGGAATGATTAGAAAACAGAAGTGGAGATTATGCTTGGATTGTGAGATAGTGAACATTTCGGGAAGTGGCTATTTCTGAAAGAGGGTCCCGACCCGAAACGTCAACTTTCCTGCACCTCTGACGCTGCCTGTGTTCCTCCAGCTCCACGCTATGTTATCTAGGACTCTTTTTTTGTGTTTAAATGAGAATCAAGTTAAATAGGAATAATTATCCCTGAAAGTTAAACAGACGAGACGTGAAAAAAGTAAATGCCTCGGTGACCCAAAGTGTGTTTTGGAAAAGAAATCTGTTCTTCAATATTTCTCATCAAGTAACAACAGCGCCACCAAACTGCGAACTGGGAACTTCTCGGGTAATAACCACAGACGTCCATTGTCACGATTCACGCTGTGGCAACAAGAAAATTACACGCTCTGGCTTCAGCGAACCTTTTAAACCGCAGGTGTTCTGCGGAGAGACCAGCGAAATCTCATCGGAGACAGCTCATTCACCTGCTGTGTGTGTGTTTTGGGGGGTGAGAGAGATTGACTCGTTCACTCCCAGCTAATCAAACACCAACCAGCTCACAAGTGACCCCGGGGGTAGGCTAGATTCTGCCTTCGTTTTACATCCAGACAGGAGAGGGAGGTTGGATTCTGATGTATTTAGTTCATAACTCCGTAACTGGCTTAGAGTTAAATACTTCGCCAAAACATTGACGTTGCTTGAGTGAATAAAAACACAAAATATTTAAGTGTGGCTAAGAAGATTTTCAAATTGGTAACCCTATCGTGACCTTGGTTCGGGAATAATTTTCACCATGATCAAGGCTAACGGCAACTGGAGCAACAGCTTTTAACTAAGTTTAAAATGAATATACAACCGGGTGTGCATGTATCTCATTCAATATTACCGTCATCCACGACTGGGTCTTGGGTGTTGGCTGTCCCGCAATTGTGACAGCAAAATCACGATTTCTTCCTCCCAGACCAAACTCGGCTATTGTGTACCTTCCTGTTCTTACTATTGTTCCCAAGTCACCGATAACGATTGACGTTTTCCCCAGCATTCACAGTTTAACACATCCCCTTTCTGATCGTGAAATCCACAAGTCACGGGTTGATTTCCAATGCAAACCCTTCATGAGATGACAACTTGGTGGTTTTTCTTTCAAATTACCTTTTTGGTTTATTTGAGGGAAGCTGAGTTTTCAAATCGCTTGTGGGCTTTTTTTGTATCATGTTTATGGTGCAAACTGGAAATTATATAGCCATATATGAAAACCCACTGAGACACAAATCAAAAGTGCTATGCAAATCCGGACGGAGTTTGCAGCTGGAGCAAAAACATTAACCGAAATGCCTGTTTTAGGAACGGGATCAAGCACTCGCCTTTGATATGAGCTATCTCACACGCACAAGTACTTGCGGCACCAGCAAATTTGGCTCTGGCATATGGAGCGCAGGGGAGGATTTGCACTTACATAAAACGTAAAAATGCTGATGGGAAGATGGTGCATGGGTTTGTAACGTGAACTATAAGATCCCTTTAGTTCAAGACCCACCTGCCCCTAGACCGCTATTCGGTCAAAAATAGAGCTGGAGAAACACAGAGGAAAATACGCTTTATTTATATAACTGAAAAAGGTTGATTTAAAGCATTAAAAACATTTTTTTTGAAAACAAAAGTGAGAATGGGAACTGAGTGTGGTGTCCTCGCGGGAGAGTAAGCAAATCTTTACAGGCAGAATATTTATTGTTCCTCCTCTGTCCTGGGATTGTGTGAAGGAGTGGTCAGGAGTTAGCAAATGTTGACGGATGCTGGGGAGAGGATCTGTTCTCGTGATCAGCCCTCTCCCCGAGAAGCTTGCAGTGAAAGTTTGGCCAAGTCCCCTTCACTCGCTGAAGTTTGCAAGAGTTGGCAGCGGGACAAGTAACTCCTTTGAATCAGTTACATCATATAGTCCCAGCCCTTTTTGTTTTAACCCACTTCCTTCCGTAGTACAATCCGTCCAGGGCTATTTAAATCTGAGCCTGACTGGCTACGGGACAGAGTGTTAGAGAAGTGGTTTCTGCAGTAGCACTGGAAGAGACAATGTTGCTGTTGCTGTTGCTGTGCCTCTGCCTGAGCGCCGGGCTGGTGCACGGAGTGCAGAGCCCCGGGCCCGCGGTGCAGGAGCCCACCGCCAGCGTCTGCGTCGCCACCGTCTGCTACAGCCTGCAGCGGGAGCGCAGGAAGTTCAACATGGCCCGCAACATCTGCAAGAGCGGCGGGGGAGACGCTATGACCGTCGGCTCCACCGTGGCCGCCGAAGCCATCGCGGTGCTGCTGGGGGGCGGCGGCGGCGGCGACGAAGTGAGGGGCGTGCGCCCCCACTGGGCGGGAGGAGAAACCGAGAGACCCGCCGTAGGAGGGAGAGTTGAGCGCCCCCCCTGGGCTGGAGGAGGAGTTGCCGTGACCCCCCCGGTGCAGGGGAACTTCTGGATCGGCCTCCAGCTGCACCACAAGGCCTGCCCGGGTAACGACAGCCTGCTGCGGGGTTACCGCTGGGTAAACGGCGAGGCCGCCGCCAACTACAGCCAGTGGGGCGCGACGACCGGGGAGTGCGGCCCCCGCTGCGTCACGGTGTCCGCCAGCGGGATGTGGGAGGAGCGGGCGTGCAACCAGAAAGCGGACGGGGTCCTGTGCGAATACCGGTACCGCGGCAGCTGCGGGCACCTGAGGGCCGACAATGCCACCGTCACCTACCGCACCCCGTTCGCCGCCGACGGCCGCCACCTGTCCGAGCTGCCCGTCGGCACCCAAGCGCGGGTGGCCCCCTCGGGCCTCGAGTTCATCTGCAGCCTGGGACAGGCGGGCGATGCCCGCGGGTCTTGGCAGGAGAAGGCTTCGCCCCCCTGGTCCTGCCGGGTGGAGAACGGCGGCTGCCAGTACTCGTGCCACGATTCCACGCCCGCTGGCCCAGTGTGCGGCTGCCCGGCCGGCTACACCCTGGGGGAGGACAAGAGCAGCTGCCGGCTTCTTGACCCGTGCGAGGAGGCGGGGTGCCAACACCGCTGCATCGTGCAGAATGGCACCCCGTTCTGCCTGTGCTGGGACGGCTACACCCTGGACGACGACGGAAAGAGCTGCACCGACGTGGATGAGTGCCAGCAGAGACCGTGCGAGCAGAGATGCGTGAACACCCCGGGCAACTTCAGCTGCCAGTGCTTTAATGGTTACCAACTGGGCAAGGACAACAAGTGTGAGGACATCAACGAGTGTAAGACCATTAATTCCTGCACCCACCTTTGTGCCAACACTCCTGGAGGTTACAATTGCAGCTGCTATGCAGGCTACCACCCGGACCCCTCTAGTTTTGGAGTGTGTGTGTTCTACTGTGAGACCCAAACAAACTCTTGTGATCCTCTCTGTATTGGAGACGATTGCTACTGCCCCGTGGGTTATATTTACGATGATGTGCGCAACACGTGCCACGATATTGATGAGTGTGCTGCCAACGAATGCGACATGATTTGCACCAATACCTACGGCAGCTACAAATGCGACTGCAAAGAGGGCTTTGTGCTTCAGGAAGACGGTATCACTTGCGAAATTGAAGGCTCTGGCAGTGGCAGTCTCCCACTTCCCACTACCATCTCGCCCAATATCATCCAACCAGGCCAGGCTGGGGTCTCCCTTGTAGTGGTTCTGGGCTCCATTTTCGCCATTGCCATCTTGACTCTAGTGTTTGCTGGCTTGGCTCACCACCTGCTGGCCAAACGGGGCAAGTGGAAAGCCTCTGGCGGCTACAAACCAACCAACGCAGACGTGGACCTCAGTCAGGTCACCTCTGTGGACGAGCAAAAGCAGCGGCTTCAGTGCACAGAGATATCTGGTGTGGCTACCTGAAGACAGAACCAGGCCTGCCTGTGTGTGGCCAAGTAAAAACTTTACATTGGAAGAACAAACTGTTATATGATTATTGTATTGGGATGGGCGAATTAACAAAAGAAACCTAATTTGAATTTAGAACAATGTGAAGCTGTCGAGTGTGTGAACATTCCTGCATTTCCTAAACAAATCTTCACACGACATTCCTCATGGATATTTGTTAGCCAAAGACCAGCCTGTTTTTCAAAATAAGGCACTTAGGTGAACTATAACCATAGCCATGGAGTTGGGCCAATTTGCAGAAGTCAGCTCTGTGGCTTGAGACTGCATTTCCTCCTAGCTGACAACTTTTGTTGCCAGTTTAAGGGCAGTCTAGATAAACTGGACCAAGAACTAAGGAAACACCATTATACTAAGAATGATATAAACCTGTTGATTTGGAGAAGGTCTGCAGGCTTAGATTGGTAGATGATGTGTTGCCAAATTGTAACCATCTGTCCAAATCGGCTAAGATCTACCTGCAAAAATTAAAGGAAGTGTGTAGCCACCATACAATGGCTGCGCCAAAAGTCATGATAGCCAGCTGAAGTCAAACTAAGCAATTGTGAGGGGGGCTATTAAGAATGATACTGTTAAATAAGTGTAGGGACTGAGTTGCACTATTGGCAATTTGACTGAAAGGACTGGATCTCAGAACTTAATTCAGTGGTTCTCATACAGGAATATATGAAGTGCTGGGTGTTCCTGGGACCTACCAAGGGTTGCAATGCCAAGGCTGGCCCATTGGGTCATTGCATAGACTGAAATTGTCAGGCTAAATGAGTGAACACTGGTTGGAGGTAAGGTCAATGTTGTGCTGCTTCATCCACCTCTTCCCCTCACCACCACTCCTAGTGCTCTAGCTGTCTGACCACTTCACTGATGCATTCCCTATGCCTGTACTTCTCTCCGCTCCTCTGCCTGTGCTTTCGCCACCCCGCCACCTGTGCTCCCTGGTTACCCCCATTCCCTCGGTCCCTGTACTACCTCTAGACTTGTACGCTTGCTGTCTGACTACTTCACAAATGCATTTTCTGTGCTCCTGCTCCCTCCATGCCCTCTCGTGCTTCTTCCATTCTCATATTCTGCTTTTTCCTCTGTGCTCCGCTGTCTGCACACTCCTGCTTTCACTGTAGTGTCCATCTTCATCACTCCTAAGCTTTCCCATTGCTTCTGCTGCCCCGGTACTTTGTACTGATTTCCATGCTCTGTTCTTTCCAGTCATATAGTCATCTAGCCCATCTCCCATTCTCTTTGGGTTCCTATTGGGAATAAACAGTATCTACAGCGAGAATCAGGCACTCCATCAAATTGATATTTATGACTAAGTACCTGTTTTCTTAAAAAAAAACTTTTAAATCTCTCTCTTTCTATGTAGCACCTCAATATTCTGGGTATTATATAGCATTATAGAGATGTGGATGAATTAGTAATCCATCTGAAAGCAAGTATTTCAACAAGTACATTTGAGAACCACTGTTCTAATCAAAAAGATATTTTTCAGTGATGTCCATTTAAAGATTAGTTTTCTGAGCTTATCACCCAAATGACGGGAAATTCATTTGTTCATCTGAAATCTCATATGTCACCATTCAGACATTACTTTAAATTTTGTATTAGACTGAAGAATTATTTGTCCAGCTGGATGTTTTCATTGTTACTCGCATGTTTTTATGAAAGGAATGAAAAGATGAAAACTTGTATATTTATATTTATTACATTTTTAAAATATCTGTATAATCATTTTAAATCTTTTCACATTTGTATGCTAATTGTCGGGGAAAAAAAACTGAATGTCTCATTTTGAACTGAATTATATTGCATACTTTTTTTTAAAATAAAGATGTTTGAAGTCATTTTTGGAAAGAAAACCCTTTTGACTTTTTTTTTCAGTTGTGAAACCTAGAATATTTCCAGATCTGCAGAAAAGTCGCTAAATGCTAAGATACTTGGAATTCTGCCAAGCATCCCAACATGTAGTATATTTGGATTAAAAAAGGTATTGATACCTTTCTTGATAGACAAAGCCAGTGATCTCCTGTCTTTTCACGCTGTAGCATATTAAGAATGATAGGAAAACCAAAACGAGACAAAAATGAAGGTATAGTCAGAAAGAATGCCAAAGTGGAATTTTTGGCTCTTCGTTAATGAAAAATGTAAAGCAAAACTTTTGCTCTCACAAATGTGTTTTAAAGAAAGAAAGAACATATTGACTTATGGCCTTACACAATCTCAGGATGTCCCAACACACATTACAGGCAATGCAGCACTTTAGAAGTGTACTCATTGTTAATGTAAGATAATGCAGCAAGTCGCATAAACATATTGAAATTGTTGCAGGGAAGAGGATAAGGACAAGGAAGTATGTCAGGTCATGCGAGTAGTGGAGGGTGTCAGAGACAATAAGAGTGAGGTAGAAGGAGAGATAGACGTAGCTGTCAAAATAAACCTAAAATTTGATTAGCCAACACAAATTCTGCGACAGGTGGTCATAATGATCTCCTATTTAGAGGAAGGAAAGCAGCGAACTTTATAATACTACTTGAGAAATATAAGTTACTGTGTAGAGATACAGCTAGATATATTGCATTAGCTAAGCATGGTGTAGGAGAGTCAGTACAGATAAGAACAGTATCCTTGTTGATTGAGCGCAGAGCAATAAGTGCAGAAGAAACAGGGATTCCATACATGCTGGAAAATCACTTGATTGAACTTAATCAAAACAGTTGGGAGTTCACTGGTGGTGTTAGTTCCTAAACTGGATAGGTCAACTAGATTCTGTATAGGCTACAGAGAGGTAAATGTATAATGAAAACAGATTTGTGCCCAATTTCTTTGTTGAAAGACTATATGAATAGGCAGTGCCTAATTCATTTCTAAGATTGATCTACTGAAGGAGTACTGGCAAGTGCTATTAAGATCAAGGGCTAAAGAGATGTCACACCAAATGGATTATATCAATGTTGCATCATGTCATTTGAGTCAAATAATGCCCAACTACATTGCAAAAGGTTTAGGAATCAAGTTGTAGGTGAGTAAGTAACTGTAGTTTATTTCAATGATGTCATAATGTATAATAACATATGGGAACAGCCTGTGAGACAAGTAGAAGATCAGTTTATGCAACTAAATTTTGATGGTTTAGTAACAAATATGGCCAAATTTTGTAAAAGCAGGAGTAACTTACCTTGAACATATCACAGGACATATACAGGTGCTGCCACGAACAGAGAGTGTGGAGTCTCCAATAGAATTCCCTGTTTCTAAAAGTAAATGAGAAATGAGATTTTCAGGAATGGATGAGTTTTTGATTGTAAATTAAAGTGGAAAAAAGACTAATTGATTGAATATTATGGAGAAGGAATTGCTGCTTTAAAAAAAACCAGCTCAATGTGAGTTTTGTTTACACCGCTGTTTTGTGGAGGAGTGAGTTTCAGCTGGCAACAGATTGCTGATTGGTTAGTGCAGTTGTGACCAGTGTGGATGTCAGAAGTCGTTGGTGTGATGCATGGTCTCTGATTGGATCCTGGGTAGCTGAACAGGTGATGTGTGTGAATGAATGAGGGACAGAATACCTCCAGAAAGAAGGAAATGGAATGTGTCCCTCTATCTCCTTAAGAATGTAACTCAAACTTACAGACAGTCAGTTATTCACTCCCACGTTTGCTATTAACTGTTGCCTATAATCCATGACGGTGAAACTGAACAGTTAATGTATAAGTCCACTGGGTCCTTGCAAAAAAAGTGAGTAGGAAGGAGATTAGAGAATGGAAACTACTCAGAAGAAAAAGGAACACCTCATTGGACGGGTGCTATTGAACTGTGATTCCCCAGTCTTTTTCGTCCAACTTAGCACTTTCTTTCATGTGTGTGTGGTTTAAAAAAGGGGTTTAAAGTTTCAACAACTAACATTATATGTTGATAGTTCATACTTGTTTACCTGAGGGTAGACTTTATTTACTTGTAGCAAATAGTAATTTTTATTAAGTACAGGAACCTGGTCAGTGTTTTCTGTTGACTCAAGTCCATCAGACAAACAAATTAGGGTCTTGATGCACTTTGGTTAAATCTTTAACTTTTATGATAATTCCAGCAATAGTGGGGCTCAAGCATCAGTGTACTTTCTCAAGAAAGTCATAAGAATGTAAAGAAGTTGCTCGGGGGTAAGGGAGAAGATAGTTTAGAATTGTTAAAAATTGAGTATAAAGAGTTCCGTTTAAAATTTCTAGACCAGAAGAGTTTGGCTGAAACCCTGGATGAGTTGTTGAAGCTGAGAAAGTTCAAGTGCAGTAAGGTAAATCAAGGAAGTAACTACCAGATTCTCACAACTGGGAACTGAAACCACAGCTAAGCCAAACCCTGCGTGGGATAGAGAAGGACATTCTCTCTCATGTTTGAGTACTGTAATGGGACACTACTGTGATTAATAGGATTGCATTTTTACTGGTTGCTTCAAGATCTTTATATGGACGTTCCATGTCGTTATTTTGGTTTATTTTATCCTCATTTCTTTTGTGCAATGAATTTCTGTTTTATTATTAAAACCGTATCTGTGACATCGCTTGCTTATGTTTCAATGACAGACCACCGATTAAAACAAAATAAAAATAAACTATGATTGATCAAGCCAGATTTCAGTCTGCAATCTAATTTGCCCAGTAATAACACCAGTGGGAATCATAGCACGATGGTGAAACAACTTTAGCTGTTTTCCATTAGCTCACTGTCGTAATGCACCAAGCCATTCAGATCATGTCACTCTCATTCACCCCAGGTGAAAGTGCTTTGATATGTCGTTGGGTAATTTGATAGATTCTTTATAAATGAATTATAATGGCTTCAATTTTTTCTGTTATATTTGTGGACACCAGGAACAGTTTTCTATGCTATTGGTAGTAATGGTATCTGCTCTGGAGAAATGAACAATTGTGATAGAAAGTTTGTTCATGTTTACTGAGTACACCTAACAATTAGAGTGAAGATGACAGAATTGGCAAACAGTACAAACTTACACCCTTTGATGCAATGGTAGATTTGTCCGGTTCTTTAAGTGAGTTATTATACTCAGTTTGGGAATACATGTATACTGTCAGTTTAGATGCCAATTGTGGCAGGGGTAAATGGCATTTTGCAGGGGTGCTTACATGTTTTTGTTTTCTCATCTACATTCAAACAACAGTGAGGTTTCAATCTTAGTGGAGGGCTAGCTATCCTGTCATCCCTGCATTAGCGTCAAGAAGCTGTAAAAAATTTTAATAAAATTATTTTCAAAATCAACTAAGTTTCAGACTTTTGGCAACCATAGACCAGCCCTACTGTAAGAGGTCATAATAAAACTGTCCATATTCTTGCATAAACATTTGCAATTTCTACAAGGTCAATAGTTGCCATAGTAACATACCTAGCTATCAACGCCTTCAAGAGTAAAAGGGGCTGAAAGGAAGTTGACAAGAGTTTTGAGAGACATTTTTTTAAATTGTTGCAGTGGCACTGCAAGCGCCAAAACTATATAAAAAAAAACTTGTGAGATTTATATGACTTCACCTGTGGATTTTACAAAATGATGTACAGTGGAAACTGTTTTGTCTTAGTAGTAGGACTGACAACCAATTGCATTGTTAACACCTACCAGTAAGAGATACCATCCATGTTGAATTTATTATTCATGTTGTACCTTAGCTTGCTATAATTTGTAATGAAACGATTCAGCTGTTAAGACAGCACACACGTATGGCAAGTGTAAAAAGTTCTTCTGTTGTGTTTAAGATACCACTCCAATCCACATCAACACCCAGGATCAGATTCCAAATTAATTCATGACTAGAAAAAAATAAAGAATAAATGTACTTTTTTCAAAAAAAAACTCTCTTATTGTGTAGATGAAGTGAAAGCAGTTTAATGGGCTAGATACTAGATTAACATGATTTGTGTCAAATTGTCCCAGCCTTTTATATTTTCCTTGAAAGCACATTTGTTTGTTTTAAAATTCAAATTAATGAAAGTGAAAATATAATGGTGAAAAACATTAGTGTTAATCCTCTGCTGTGAATTATTTTGTTCATTAAGATTCCTTTCAAAGATTCTTTTGCTCAGGAAGTATTGGGGAAACAGAGCGTGGACAAGTTGGACCGAAGGGTCTGTTTCCGTGCTGTTTGACTGTAAGGCTGTAAGTCACTGATGCCCTCTCAAGGTTAAATACTCCCTAACACTCAGCACAAAGGGCGGGATTTTGTCTGGGTGGTGGTGAACCTGACAAGGGCCTCAAAATTGGGGAGAACTGTGACTTGGCTGCGTGAGGGAGCTCCAAAGAAATTTTATGTTTATCAGGTGCATTATGGGTCAGCATTGGGGGGGCCATTCCCCTTAAAAGATGAGATCCTATTTACAAGACCTCTTTACTGATTGGTAATTATATCACTGGGCAGGGAGGTCATCTACCACCTTCGTGACAAGGTAATATGAAGTGATAAGTACACTACCTCTACCTTTCCCTCCTGATTCTTTGCCTCCACTCCCATCTACCTTCACAATCTATCCCATTCCTGCTGACCCCCTAATACCTTGGTCATGCTTGCTGAAACTAGAGCGCATCAGTAACAAACAAAGGGAACACTGGAGAAAATCAGGACATTTGGCAGCATCTGTGGAGGGAGAAACTGAATTAAAACTTCTGGTCCAGTATGACTATTCTTGAAGTCATATCAGACTTGAAACATTAACTCTGCTTCTCTCTCTACAGATGCTGCTAGGCCTATTGAGTTTCTCCAGTGCTTTCTGCTTTAATTTCAGATTTCTGCATGAGTTTGCTTTTATTCAGAGCATGTCACTGCTTTGCCTCAGTTTGGTGGATTTCTGG